AGGCCTAATAACACCTTCAATTTGAGATTTTGTGACAAGCTGGAACAAACAGCATACACTATACAAGTATGTCATTTCAGGGAGGTCGCTGGGTCATTGCTTGCTCATTTTTTCTCTCATAAGTGAGTTTCCAGACATCAGAATCCTGGTCCACTCCCCATTATGGGTCATCAGATGATCATTTCTCATGAGATGTCTGTGTGTAACATTTTTTGTGCTGCAAAACCATTGTTTATTGGCCCAGCGGTGTTAAGACCAACAGGATCAGGGTGCGCCCATTCTTTTGCAGTCTAACTCTGGCAGAGTCAGCCACTGCAATATACTGGATGTTACATTTCATTCTGCACTTCTTATGAATTGTTGCACATCCTCTTTTTGAAGGATGACAGCAATCAACACAATAGACAGAAACCAAAACCAAATTAGACAACCTAACATATGGAGTAAATCTCATGACAATGGCAGCAGCATAGTGTGGAAGCATCATTTACAATACAGGAATGGGATCTTATTTTTATTGAAAGCCAGTGAAAATTGCTTGTTGGTGTGCAAGACATCTTAACCCCAGATGCTGGAGCTGACATTGATATGCCTCTCACATTCACTGAAATATCCAGACTTTTCCACTGTTACAAGTAGGTGACAGCCTGCATTGAAGAACCTGGACAGGAAGTAGGCAGCAGAGATTCTCATTGACTAGAAAATGGGAAGTTCACAACGAGCAGGAACTTCCTTGTTCCTCACCTTCTCAGCTCATTTGAGATAGGATGTCATCCCCAAACCTTTTTGGGACAACAAAGAGCAATGCCTATATCCTCTCAGTAAAAGTGTGTATGGATGTGTGGATATCAGCAACTTTATTGGTTCTGGAGCAAGCAAACCTTTTAATGTTGTTGGCATATATGGGCTTTTTGAGTTCCGATCATTGTCAGAGAGCTTCACTGTTCTGTGATTGTCTGATGTAATCTTGTGTTGTTGTGATTAGTGTAAAAATCCTTTCCAGCAGCAGGATTGAGTGAGCAGCCTTTTGTTATTGCGGTAATCTCCCCTCTTTAAGTTCCACTTTGTTCTTTTGTCTCTTTGTGGGCTGACTCAATGTGAAGTTAATTAGCAGTCACTGGTCTTCCCCGGTAGGGAATTCAGTAGTCCTGAATTGCAGTTTGGCCAAAACTTTATCAAATTTAAAGAAACTTTTCTTCTTTAAGCCTCTCTCCAGATCTAAGAACAATGCACTTTGTCCTAAGCTTTGAGTAAAAAAAAAAGACAGGTGTTGTGTTTTAAATAACATTAGACCTACACAACATGACTCAGAGCACATTAATCTCAGCAATTGCGTATTGCTCACTGTGGTGTCAGAAACAAAAAAGCAATTGCTTACATCTGAGACTGAATTACAAGGACAAAGTACATTGTAAATACACTGAATAAAGTCCTGACCCTACATTGTTTTTTGCTTCCTGAAATTCTTAAAGCAAAGCATCGAAAGTGTGAACTTCAGATATTGCACGGGAAGTTCAGATGATGTAGCAATCACACACCCTATCTTTAAAGTCTGTGGCATATGTGAACATCAAACCAGAGTTTGGTTCAGATTAATGTGTTATTTCACAAAAACCCCACTTCACATTTTGCCTAATAACACCCCCAGGCTGTGTCAGTATCCATGATATACCACAGATTTTAGTGCCATAACTCTGACAAAACGCATCCACAGTTGGCTGAACTTAAGGTTAGCTAATTAACTAGGTAAAGTGGGAGGAGATACATAATTTAACAAATTCTATGGATTACATGAAATGTCATTTCACTGATGAAAGTAGTTAGGCTTGTTAGGATGTTACTCTTGCTATAGTAACATTCCTAACATTTAACAATGCTGCTAGATTTGCTAGCTAGCTAGACAGAGAACAAGCTAGCAAACAAGTGGGCTTTAGAACATTTTTATTTTATTTTGTGTCTTTCAGTACAAATTTCTTCCCTTTTCAATTTCTCCAAGAAGAAATCATTTTCAATGTAAAAACCATATCAGCATAAGCAATATGATTGCTCTGAAGGTAATTTTTTGAGGGTACTTTTCATTAAAATGAAAATCGGAGAAATCAGACTTCAGGATGAAATGAATGCATTTGAAAACGTTAGTGTTATTCGATCAGCCCGCATGTTTTCAAGGCCGGGGGATCAGGACACAGATGTCACTGCAGGATCCCTCTCTTTGAATTCTGCTATTCTCAAACACTTCCAGCATAATCTGTCTCCCAATACTTCTAGCATTGTGTATTGATACCAGATTCCCCAGCATCCTAATTTATGTTAATTCATCTCCTCCTGCTCCCCCGTGGCTGTTAAGAAATTTATAGAATTGAGACTTGCAGACCGGGGTCCATGTTTTTGGCAGGGCACAAGTCCCCCCGTGCAGACTCTCTCTGTGGAGAGCATGTCCTGCTGAAACCATCTGGGGGTACACAGGCCAGTTCCCGAACAGGGAAAGGGGGATGGAGGGGATTCTGGCACAATCCAATTTCTCCCGTGCTTTAACTGAAAAGTAGTTAACTGAAATGTAAGGAAGCTGATTGCTCTTTTGCACAATGCCATGCGGAGATCAGCTGCCGTTTCCCAGAGGGCATTGTTCATCTGTCTTATGCTCCGGAGAGTTGTTTGTTCAAAATCTTTTTTTTTCCCAAACACTAACTCATTGAACAAACAACAACAAAAGCAACAACAACCACAGCCCATACATTACCAAACACAGTTACAGTTGATCAGAGATTCCAGGGTGAAGTGACCTTATGAGTTTACGCAACGCATCAATCAAGGAAAAACAGAATACAAATCTGGTGAAAATAGATTACAAAGTGCTCTTTAGTCAGATAACTCAGATCATTATCAGAAACAGTAGCCTGTGACTGTGTGAGCATTACTTGTTTCTCTTGGCAGAGTATGACCAGCACAACATGACATTGCATGTGGCACCATCCCCTCCACCCCATGGCTGCAGAGCTAACCTCACAGGTTGACTGCTTGGCTGCAGAGAGGGGAGGTGGGGATGGAGGAGGGGCATCCTACTGATAGCTGTTAAAGGGGAGGAGTGGGCGTGTGAAAAGAAAACGGTGCTAATTCATTGGCAGTAAAAAAAAAAAACCCTTGTTACCCAGACTCCTCTGTTCCCAGAGCCTCCCTTGTGCCACCGCTCCCTGCAGATAACTGCCTCACAGCTGAGGGATGAGGTGACTGCTGGGCCTACAGCCACAGCCTCTGATGAGCTCATCCTGTAAGTAACGGGAAGGTGAACGTAGAGCTCTGTATGTCAAACAAGAATCAAGCAGCGTGCAGCTCTGTGCCACAACAGTCACCCGAAAACCTCGCAGCGTACAGACAGCGACTGTGGCCCTGCAATGACATGCCAGTGGGGGGTCGAGAGAAGCACAATGGGCTGCTAATGACCTTCTTTAGCTTTATCAGACGACTGTGCAGCTCACAGCTGAACCACTGAACCACGGCCTGAGAAAGGCAGTGACTGCTTTCTCACCACACAGGCCAAACTAAAACAAATTCACCTATAGCCAAATGAGAGGATTAATCCACAATTACTGGTGGCAAATTCAGAAAAACAGCTGATTGCTAAATCTAAATGAGCCCATTTGCTGGGGCATTGTCCTACGATGCCGTGACTCGGATTCGAACCGAGGTTGCTGCGGCCACAACGCAGAGTACTAACCACTATACGATCACGGCAAGCTACATGGGCTACTACGATAGAAGTGCTCCTAGATTTACATTTAGCTGCTGCCCTGGGAACGCCTCAAAGAATGTAGAATCTTTAATTTACTCATTCTTTAATGCCTCCGAGCACTGCTTCAAAAGGAGCCCATATGCTGTGACATTGTCCCACAATGCCATGACTCGGATTCGAACAGAGGTTGCTGCAGCCACAACGCAGAGTACTAACCACTATACGATCACAGCAAGCTACTACAGGCTCATGAAAGTGAGAGTGTGACATGACAGTGCTGGAGCTAGATTTAGATTTAGCAGTCAGCTGTTTTTACAAATTCGTCCCCAGTAAATTAGCCCATTATTTAATTCATAAAAGCAGCTGATTGCTCATTTTTTGTTATTAATATTGGTAGCTGTATCAGTAGCAGTAGTGGTGTTATTGTTATGAAGTATTTAATTTGGCAGATGGATTTTTCTAGAGTGTTACATCTTGCTGGTAGATCATTATGCTCTAGTAAAAACCCAAATGCATAGCTCTGAGGAGCTTCAGGGCAGTTGGTGCCTTTGACCAGAATTCTTCCTCCTCAGAATCACTCATTCACATGTGTAATTAATATGATTGCTAAATCTAAATCTAGCTCCAGCACTGTCACGTCACCCTTTCATTTGCACAAGCCTGTAGTAGCTTGCCGTGATCGTATAGTGGTTAGTACTCTGCGTTGTGGCCGCAGCAACCTCGGTTCAACTCCGAGTCACGGCATCGTGGGACGATGGCACAGCAAATAGGCATTCTTTTGGAATGAGTGCAGCATTTCTGGGAATTTTATCTGATCTCTTCATTAATTAAGATTGCTCAAGATGATAATTAAATAATGGGCTAACAGACATATGTTACTTCCTCTGATGCATTGAAAGAATAAATGCATCCCTGATTGTTGCTGATACATACAAAATATTTTTAAATATATTTTTTGTTAATATCTTTTTTGATGTGACTTACATGAACAAATTAGGAAAATAAATTCATATTGAATGTAAACATGTTTTCCTTCATTTAATGAGAGACTACCTACAGGAAGTAATTGATTGAAGTAATCATAAGTTGAAGTCAATCATATTGAAGAAATACCTTTACATTCATGCTTTTAGTAGCACAAGCACAATATTATCTTTTAAATCTACATTATCTATATAATTATGCCATCTTATTTTAATCTTTTCTTTACCTTAATCTTACTTTAATCATTCTTCAATGCCTCTGAGCACTGCTTCAAAAAGAGCCCCTTTGCTGTTACTCGGATTCAAACTGAGGTTGCTGCAGCCACAATGCAGAGTACTAACCACTATATGATCAAGGCGAGCTACATGGATTTATATAAAGGAGGATTTGAGTGCTGGAAGTGCTCCTAAATTTACATTTAGCTGCTGCCCTGGGAATGCCTCAAAGAATCTTAATTTACTCATTCTTTAATGCCTCCGAGCACTGCTTCAAAAGGAGCCCATTTGCTGTGACATTGTCCCACAATGCCGTGACTCGGATTCGAACCGAGGTTGCTGCGGCCACAACGCAGAGTACTAACCACTATACGATCACGGCGAGCTACTACAGGCTTGTAAAAGTAAGAGTGTGACATGACTTTCTTTTTCAGCTTTCAGTTTTCTGAGCTGATTGTTCAGTCTGTGTGCAATTTACGTGGTGTCTCTAGTAAGCATGCATGACTTGGCTGTACACCTTTAATCCTGAATGCTTCACTGAATGCTCTCCATGTTAAAATGGCGTTCCTTGCAGTTTTGTGTTGGGCTAGTGTTCCTGTCAGGTGACCTGGTGCACAGCAAACATTCTGGTGGGCACTGCAACACTTCGCCACGCCCAAATTTTGTGTTAAAGGCGAATGTGAAAGTACAAGGAAGGCCCAGATGTGTGGTACACGCCCTTCAAGAGGGAAACAAGGTCTGCTGGTTTTCGCTGCACCTCGCCACAAGACTTCAGCTGTTAATTTAGGGAGAGAGTCGCCACACCTTCTGTTCCACGTTTAAATCAAATGCTGACTGAATTACCATCTAGTCGTCCAATCAGTGATTTGAGTAAATCTGTTCAGAGCTGCTGGGCACAACGAACAGCAGTGGGCCTCTGGGAGTGCAGCCTCCCCGACCCTGCTCCGGGTGGAACAGAGACAAGGCGCTGTGATTTATGTGGCTGCAGAGGACGCATTCTTTGATGTTTATAAATGTGCGGCACGGAGGGGGGTGGCGTGGGTCCCGCGTGCAGGTGAAGCAGCAGACAGGGTCAAAAGTTTCAGGTTCACAGGTGAACCATCGTGGAGATTGCATGGGAGGGGTGGCCCCCCGTGACAACTTAATGAGTGAGCTGGAGGGGAGGGGGGCGGGGGTGCAGCGCAGTGGTGTCTCTTTTTGTGAGCTCTGTGTAATATTCTTGACATTTCTTACAGTGCATGTTGTTTTCACACTCATGAGAATATGTGCCTTGCTTGTCTTGGATCGATATTTATAGTACAAACACACTTTGTTATTTAAATTGTTTTTTGAGCTTGCTTGACAGGGTATGCATTTACAGTGCTAGAAGTTCTCCACAGCATATTGGGTTACATTGAAGCAATGTCAACAGCCATGCCCCACTGGGGAATTGAACCCATGAACTCTGTGTTATAAGTCCAGCTCCCTTTCCTTTTCACCACTGTACTCCCACATTGATGGGTCTACTCAAAGCATAGCAGCTGCCAAATCTAAATCTAGCTCCAGAACTGTCACGTCACACTCTCACCTCCACAAGTCCATGTAGCTCGCCGTGATCGTATAGTGGTTAGTACTCTGCGTTGTGGCCGCAGCAACCTCGGCTCGAATCCGAGTCACGGCATTGCGGGACAATGTCACAGCAAATGGGCCTTCATTTTTAAGCAGTGCTCAGAGGCATTAAAGAATGTGGAAATTAAGAATCATATGAATTACACATGTGAATGAGTGATTCTGAGGAGGAAGAATTCTGGTCAAAGACACCAACTGCTCTGAAGCTCCTCAGAGCTATGCATTTGGGTTTTTACTAAAGAGCATAATGATCTACCAGCAAGATGTAACACTCCAGAAAAATGCATCTGCTAGATTAAATACTTCACAACAATAACACCACTACTGCTACTGGTACAGCTACCAATATTAATAACAAAGTAATGGATAATCAGCTGCTTTTATGAATTAAATAATGGGCTAATTTACTGGGGACAAATTCATAAAATCAGCTAACTGCTGAATATAAATCTAGCTCCAGCACTGTCACGTTACACTCTCCCTTTCATAAGCCCATAGTAGCTTGCCGTGATCGTATAGTGGTTAGTACTCTGCATTGTGGCCGCAGCAACCTCGGTTTGAATCCGAGTCATGGCATTGTGGGACAATTGCATGGCAAATAGGCATTCTTGAGTGCAGTGTTTCTGGGAATTTTATCTGATCTCTTCATTAATTAAGATTGCTCAAGATGATAATTAAATAATGGGCTAACTTAGATATATGTTTCTTGCTTTGATGCATTGAAGGAATAAATGCATTCCTGATAGCTGCTAATACATACAAAAATATTTTTAAATATACTTTTTGCCAATATGTTTTTTGGTCTGACATTCATGAACAAATTAGGAATATAAATTCATATTGAACTTAATCGTGTTTTCTTTAATTTAATGAGGGACTACCTACAGGAAGTAATTGATTGAAGTAATCATAAGTTAAAGTCAAACATATTGAAGAAATACCTTTACATTCACGCTTTTAGTAGCACAAGCACAATATTATCTTTTAAATCTATATTAACTATATAATTATGCCATGTTATTCTTTTCTTTACCTTAATCTTACTTTAATCATTCTTCAAAGCTTCTGAGTACTGCTTCAAAAAGAGCCCATTTGCCATGACATTGCACCCCAATGCCGTGACTCGGATTCGAACCGAGGTTGCTGCGGCCACAACGCAGAGTACTAACCACTATACGATCACGGCAAGCTACATGGGCTTATAAGAAAGAGGATTTGAGCACTGGAAGTGCTCCTAGATTTATATTTAGCAGCTGCCCTGGGAATCCCTCAAAGAAAAAAAAACTACTTTGTTTTCGTCTACTTGTCAGCAGAAAACTCCTGTCCATTTTAAGTTCACATTTACATTACAATGTAAGTTCATATTAAAGTGTGTGTTTATATATGTGCAGTTGTGTGTGAGTAGATGTGTGTGTATGTTCGCAAGTGGGGTATATGTGTGCATGTCTGTGTGTGTGCGTGTGTCTGTGTGGTGTGTGTGCGTGCGTGTATGTGTGTGTGTGTATGTGTGTGTCTGTGTGTGAGATTCAGGCTTCTTCCACACCACAGCACTTCACTGCTTCTCACACCTTGTCTTGTAGCTCGCTGTCTGGGGGTGGGGGGATTTGGTGGTGGCAGTGGTAAGGGGGGTTGTAAACGTTTGCCCGAGTGACCACAAATCACAACTGAAAACAGGCATGCATCTTCAAAGAGCCCCCACCCCCCGCCCCTTTTCAGTGATTTACAGCCCCCGTCGTGGAGAACGTCGACATGGCCACTGTCCTTGCACCTGGACTATTATGAGGCGGCCTGGATCATCTCCCTCAAGAGGCAAAAGACATTCAAATGTACAAGCGGAAGATTAGGCCGATTCAATCTGCTTCCCTTTGGAGTAGGGGAACCCCCCTCAAGACTTCAAAAAGGCCTGTCTTTCTCTCTCTCCCTTCCTCCCTCCCTCTCTCTCTGTCTGCTTAATGAGAGAAAAGGAATGCCGATACATTAAAAAAAATGAGGTTCTGCGTATTCCGAGTGTTAATTCACAGCTTACTCCTCTAATGCACTTGTGGAGCACTTTTAAATGTCCGGAGTTTGCATTCGAATGGCATGTTGGAGGCTTTTAATTGCAGGCTGCTTTGAACAAATAATTGAAATGCGTGACTCGAAGGTCTGCTTAAACAACCTGAATGTGCTTTCCTGGTAGGCCATCGGCCATTTTTTAAACTGGAGTCTGACCGATAGCCTGTGTGGGATTTTTTTTTTTTTTTTTTTTTATAACTTTGTGTCCTGAAATATACCTTACGGCCAGCTTGGGAGGTTAGGTTTTTTAAATGAGATTTAAATTCATGATTTAAAGTATGTCTTTGGCAAGAATATTTTTATTTTGGGCCTGATAAAACACTTTGATAGCTGCTAAAGTTGGCTCTTTGCTAACAGGTCACGTATGCTCCCACAGTGTCTTGCATTTATAGAATAAGCAGTCACATTCATAAATATTACATTTAAAGATGAAGCAAAACTATTCTTTCTTCCTGAATCTACCCCCCTTGCTAGTTAAAGTCTCAGTGTTTAAATGTCCGCAGGTAATAATGCTTGTGAATCTGGAGAATGGAGCTTGGCTGACAACGTCACAAAGCAGCCAGCTATCGCCGGGAGCGTGAGGGTGCTTTTGTGCTGGTTCTCTATAGGCAGCTGTTTCCCATGTCTGAGCGCGATGGGTTAATGAGGGCTCCTGCACAGTGAAAGTTCGGGCACGGAGGACCCTCACAAAATCGGGCCGTAGACCACATCCCTTTTCCAGCCAACCTGGAAATTTGTTACAATAGTGGTCGTTTGTTGTTTACTAAGGAAGAAATCAATCCATTTGACTTTATTTTTTTCCACACTATTTCATATACAAACGCACACATACCACTCTCTTCTCCAGATTTTTTTGATGAATATTTTATTTTTTGAGGTAAGTATTCAGGTTGAAATTTACATTCAATTCATCTGTCACGACTTGCGCGCTCGCCTAAAAGAAAGGCAGTGTAGCGTGAACGTGGTTCGCTGGGTGTTTGGCGCGGTATGGTGAATGCGCTGTCAGGACAGCGCAGCGTCAGTGTGAACTAGCCCCAATGCCCAGTGACTGCACGGTTACCCCGCTGTGACGGGACCACCCAGCAAGGGAGGGAGAGGGGATTAAGCTCCTGTTCCTGTTTAATTCCGTTACCTCTTTTTTTCCAGACTGTTTGCAGTTGTACCCAATCGTGCCAACTATAGCATTAGTCCTCTCCCATGTGAAGTGCCCGTTCCGCCACTGTTTTTTAAAGCACGGAAAATAACGAAACTCCACCACGAACTAAGTGTAAGTTGCTAGTAAACAGGCAAGAATTCTATGTGTCTGTTTATTTAAAATGATCTAATTACACCATGGAGGTTACACCTATTTAGTAATGTTGCTGATATAATATTACTGAGTTCATCATTCGTTGAGCTGTTGAATGAGTTTGACCTTTTCCGGTATAAAGCAGGGAGAAGGTGAAGGTTTGGTTATTCATATAGGCCTATTTTTTTAATT